AAAATAAAACTATAAATAAAATTAATTAAAAAAAATGTAAAAAAGAAAATAATTTTTATGTCTATAATAAATATATAAAAATTTAAAAATATAAATACTATTTATATATATACATTTACTCTAAATTTTTTTATCATATTTTTTATCATTTAGTAAAAAACATATTTAAAAAATAAATTATAGTATATTTTAAAAATATTTGATTAACAACTGTTACTTATCTCAAAAAAAACAAAAATTTTTATTACATTTAAAAACTAAATATATATTTAGTTTAAACCCATATTTTTTATATATATATATAACTTTATTAATAATGTTTTATGGCTTTTATCCAAACAAACAAACAAAAAAATATGATATTATTAATACATAAAACTTAAAATCCCTTACAATTATATATATATATTTATATATTATATATATATCATATATATAAATGTGATTTACTTTTTAACCCCCCATTAAAATAGTTACTTACAGTACATTAATATTATTTTTGTATACATATATATATATATATATATAATTGAAACAATTTTATGTTATTTTTATTTATTATTTTCTAGTTTAAAAAAAAGTTTTAAAAATTGTTTGACTTAATTACACACACATTTAAATACAGTATATTTTTTTATTTTATTTTATTTTTTAAAAAAAATCATATCTCATAATAACGGAAATATTAATAATAAAAATTATTTATTTATAGCTCAAAGTTTTTTTTATATATCAACAAAAAATAATAATAATAATAACTACTGTTTTATATATATTTTTATATGTAATGTATTGAAAAAAATATGTTTATTTTTACATTACATTTGGCTTTTATATATAAAAATTATTGTTTAAGTATTGTTTTTAAGTATACATATCTATCTATCTATCTATCAGTTAAACTCTCATTGTTTGCCATTTATTACCATTTGTTTTGTTTTAAAGTAATGAAATATAACAGTAATAGTAAACAAAAAAAAATAGTAAAAATAATAATAATAAAAAAATTACACAAAAACAAACAGTTAGTTTATTGTTTTTAGTTGGCTATAAAAACATACAAAAAAAATTTTTGCTGAAAATTTTTGAAAATTGCATTCAATAACAACAAAATATTTATTTTTATTTATTTTTTTGGTACATTTCTATAATGATTTGTTTGATGAGAGAGAGAGAGAGAGAGAGAGAGAGAGAGAGAGAGAGAGAGAGATTGAAATGAAAGTAAAAAAAAACAATAATAATAATAATAAAAAATATTTTTAAAGTCAAACAATGCTTTCAACATAACAAACTAAATGCCACTTTTGTTTTTAGTATATATATATGTATATATACAGTATATGACACAATCTATTTATATGACTGACTATACATATGTGGAGATAATGATGACATTAGTGGAGGAACGGTAGATATCCTAGATATCCTATATATATATATATATATATATAGGATATCATCTAATGGACAATAATATCATTATATAATACTGATTACAATCTCATCTCATAATGACTATTAAACTTCAAAAATAATACTGCATTTAGTTATAGTGTGTATATATATATATATACAAAAAATTGCTTACATTTAATACATACTCTTTCTCTCTCTCTCTCTCTCTCTCTCTCTCTCTCTCTCTCTCTCTCTCTCTCTCTCTCTCTCTCTCTCTCTCTCTCTCGAGTCATACAACTAGACGACGACACACAATATACTCATTATTATAGTTTTTTTTAAAAAAAATTATTTTAAATGTTTGCATTTTTTTTGTTTTAAAAAAACTAAATGCATTAATAGTAGCAATAACAAAATGTAAAGTTAAAAATATATATATTACCCTGGATCTTTAAATGATAATTATTGTAGTATACATTAGTAGTAGTAGTAGTAGTAGTAGTAGTAGTAGTAGTAGTAGTAGTAGTAGACATACACACATATAAATGAGAAACTAAAATATATTATTATATAAATTAGTTTTTTTTTTGTTAAAAAGTTTCACAACTATAAGCTTACTATTGTTTTGTATTTTTTTTAAATAATAATTATATATAAATTAAAAGACATTTAATTTTCAAACAGTAAACATTTTTTTTTTGCTTTTATTAATTTTTTTTGTTTGTTGTATTGAATCGATTACTGTATAAATCATTTATATAATAGTTTTATAATATATTTTTTTGAGTAAAAATAAATAAAAACTTTTAACAATAGGATTCACAGTATTTTTTTGATACATATATATATATATCAAACACACAAATAATACTATTATCATATTTATTGTTGATTTTTTAAAGTCTAAATAATCCAACAAAATAAACATATTTTCAAATGCGATAAATAAAATATTTTTTTTACAGAATATTCTGTATATATATATATATATATGATATACATATATATATGATATATCTATACATTTTAAATAAAAAACATATATAATGTATATGTATTTTTGCCGCTTATCTATAAAATTCAATGCAATTTATTTTATTTTTTTGGCGGCAATTGTATCTAAAAATATTTTATTGTATTTTATATTATTATATTATTTTTTTAGAATATATTATTTATTTTATTATTTTTGATGAATCTTACATTTAAAATTAAATTTTAGTTTTTTAAATAAAATAAAAAGGTTTTTAATTAATTTTTATTATTAAACTTTTATATATTTTATATACTGTATAATATAATATTATTATAAAATAAAAGTAATTTTATTACTTAGTTTTTAAAAATTTTTAGATTAGTATTTTTATAATTGAATAATAAATGAAATTAATTTTGATGGATTTTTTTTGGTGATTTTGAATTATTTTGAAAGTAAATTGAAATTTTCACTTTAAATATATATAATATATTACAGTATATACTGTATATATATATATATTTAGTGTCATATAATTAAAATAAATGTATATATAGTTTATTTCTATGTAATAAATTAATTTGACAAAATATTTTAGATAATTAGATTTATATATATATATATATATATATATATATAATTAAGTATATATTTTCTACTTAAATATTATACATTCAATAGTGCGATAATAATAATAATAATAATAATAATACATAAATAAATTAAGTTTTTTTTGTATTATATTTTTTCCATTATTAATGTCATTTCTAATGAAAAATATAATCTAATTTTTTTTTATCTCACAATTATATATACAGTATATATATATATATCGCTATTTTCAATAAATTAGAGACAAATTTTAAATATATATATATATATATATTATCTGAAAATTCATTTATTTTTTATTTTTATTTTTAACTAGAATTTTATATTGTATTATATATTTTTATTTTTTTTTTGATCGTGGATTTGAAATAAATTTTAAAATAAATAATTTCTATTCAAATAATAATAATAATATAAATACTGCACTATTTTATACACTATTATGAAATAGCAAAAAAAAATATTTAAATTATTTATTTAAGTAATTTCTAATGAAATATATATATATATAAATATATTTTCTAAAAAAAATCATACAAACATTCAATAATAATAATAATATCTATTTATATATTACTTGTATTAGATATTCATTAAATAATTTTTTTTATTTGTTTTTGTTTAATAGTATTTATTTTTATTTTAGTTATAAAAGTAAATACAAAGAGATTGAGATATACAGAGATAATTGAAAAAAATAAAATTGAAAAAAAACTATTTGTTTTATATATATATATATATTTGCCAACAATTTTGTCTCATGAGATATATTTATAATAAAAATAAATAAAATAATTTATATAATGAATATCAAAAAAAATAATTTAAAAATCTATTAAAAAATATTTGTCAAAAAATTAATGAAAAAAATCATTTATATATTATAAATAAAAACTAAAATCTTTGTTGTTGTTGTTTTAGTTTTATATATATATAAACTAAAAAAATTTAAAAAAAATGTTTTTTAAAATTATATCTGATGTTTACATTTTAATAATACACATAAAAATTTTTGTATTGATTTTTATATTTTACTATATTTTACTATATTTTACTACAAATTATTACTAACTATATATGTATATATATATATATATATATTATGTTTGCCTAAATCTTTTCATATATATATATAAAATTGAAATTACTTTTATTTTCTGTGTTATTTCATAGTATATATATATATATATATATATTTGAACAAAATAAAACACATTTTTAGATTATGACACAAAAAAAGTGTGTATAAAATATATAAAAAGTATCGTATAATAAATTGGATGTAATTTACATTTTTTCTCATTTAACTTTTTTTTACTCTCACTTTTTACAGTATATATTACTGTTTATTATGTATCTAACGGTGCATATTATATAATATATATAATAGAGTATATATATATATGTATATAATCTATAGTATTAAAAAAAATTATATGTAATATATTATAGATCACACATATATTGTATATATTAATAACAACTTTATTGATGACTATATACTGTAATTTACATATAATTTTTTTCAATATTAAAATTTATATATATTTTACTGTATATATATAAAAATTTGTTTAATTTTTTCTATACTAATACTAATAATATTTACCAACAACAAAAAAAACTAATTAATTATTATTGTGATTCAAAAATTAAAAGTTTATTAAAAAAAATTTTTAAAGATTAATATTTAAAAAAAAATTTAATAAACAAATAATTATACTTTTAGTAGTTATAATATAGTAGTTATATATTAAAATAAATACATATCATATACATTACTTTTTTTTAAAAAAAATATTAATTATAATAAAGTAAATAATTATTTATATATTTTTAATAACAATTTTATTTTATTTATTTTTTATGTGTTTCTAATATAGAATTCATTCATACAATCAATAAAAAAAACAAAAGACAAATCAAACATTTCCTGCACTTACTTATGAAAATACATATAAATATATAAAAATATATACATTTATATAACATATACAGTATATATATATATATCTATATCTATACTGTCTATATGTATGTATAAAAAGACAACAACAACAACAACAATATGAAGGAAACGACATCGACATCAACGTCAACCTCGACATCGACAACAACAACCTCTTCATCGACATTGAAATCAATGGAGGAAAAGGAGTTTAATTGTATTAAGATTGTAGTCGTGGGTGATATGAGGTCAGGGAAGACATCGCTTATACACCGATTTATTAATGATAAATATCCGGAGGTTTGTAACCCATAAAATAAATTAAATTATTTATACAAACATATGTTATATTTTTGTGTACACATATATTATCAATTCAAGTATTCCCGCCACCCCTCCATCCCGACCCCCTCTCTCGAAAAAAATTAATACATTTATCATACCACACATATCCCCCTCTCCCCCCTACCATTAGCAGCATCCTAACCCAACCCCCCATCCACCCCTACATAACTAACTGTCCATTTTGAACTGTTAGGGATATATATATAACATATGTTTTATTATTTTATCATATTTTTGCATATCATATATCATATATATATATATAACTTATACAGTAATTGATAATAATATGTTGTTGTTTGATACTATCCCCTCAACAAACAACAAAAATCTAACTAAATATTATTTTTAATGATTGAATGCCAGCTATACTCCCACACACACACACACACATACATACACACACACATACATACACACACACATACATACACACACACACACACATACATACACACACATACACACACACACACACAGACAAACTAAATGATAGTATCTATCATTAAAAAAAAAATATAGTTTGAATACATAATTAGTTTAGCAGCAGATTGTTGTGTACTGTATGTGTCAGAGATAACACATACAGTACTACACACACACACACACACACACACACACATCCATGAGCTATATATATATATATATCATATATATATAGACAACAAAGGGGGGGAGAGAAACGATATATTATATCATATTATATATATATATATATATATATAATTTAGAGGTCGACCATTAAAATTTACATTATTTATCTATCAAACAAACAAACAAAAAAACATATGGGATTTTTTTTTGTAACATTAAAAATGTTATTTTCAAACAAACAAAATATATCTATATATTTGTCAACTAAGATATATATATATATATATAAATAGATTTTACTATTAGATATGCTATCAATCAAATATATTATATATATATATATTGAATAACAAAAATATATTAAACAAAATTTCAGTTTCAAATATAGTATATATACTAGTATTGTATATATATATATACACTGTTTGAAAGCACATGTAGTTTTAGGTTAAGTTAGGTTTTTTTTTGGATAGTGATCAAGGTTCTCTTATATTATTTATTTATTTATTTTTTACTAATTTATTATTATTAATGTGAGTTAAGGGAAGGGTATCCAAGTGCACACACACATACACATTGATAGATATACTGTATATATACACACCTATTGCCCACATATTAATTGTCAATTATTTGTGAATATTTTATTTATTTTTTTTTCAAAAATACTGATATATACTATAATAATAATTATAATTATAAAATAGCTATTATACACAAAATTAAATCTCAATTATCAAATAATATTTAAAAAATATTAAGTGTATTATAAGTGCAATAATATTAATAGTATTGATAATACATTTTTAATGATAGATAATAAAAACATAACATTTCTAATAACATAATGTTTATTACAAATAATTTTTTTCATATATATATATATATATATATATATGATTAATGATTATTATTTGTTGTTTTATTGTTTATATTCACTATATATATACAAAAAAAACTATATATATATCTGATTAGACATTAATATGTTTTTTGATTTTACAGAAAAAAACTATTTAAAAAAAAGTTATGTTTTGTATATATAATTCAAGGTTTTTCTCCTATTAATAAAAACATATGTATTATTATTTTTGTTTAGTTTTTATTTATAATAGTTTTATCTTTTTTTTGTTGTTGTAATTGGTCTCTCTCTCTCTCTCTCTCTCTCTCTCTCTCTCTCTCTCTCTCTCTCTCTAATCTTATTGATGTATCAAATAAATTACGATATTATATATTATAAGATTATGATAAAGTTTGTAAAAATTTTTTTTTAAAAATTATTATAACTATAATATATTTATGCAATTAATTTCACTCCTAATTTATATACATATATATATATGTGATTTTATATTTTTTTGTTAATAATTATTATATTAGGAATATATATATATATATAACAAAACAAAAAAAAATATTTTTTAATGATTATTATCGACATAATTTACAACTCACATAATATATATATATATATGAATATAAATTAAAATATTATTATTATTTTTTATTAATTTTATATATCAATGATATAATTGCTGCAATTTATACGTTTAAAAAACGCATATAATAAATATATATTGATTTATATTAATATATATATATATATATAACGTGATTGAAACTAATATCA